TCATTATTTCAGTCGGCGCTCCTAAATCACCTGACTTAGAAGGCGTCGTTGAAGGCAGTCAGCATCTGTTGGTCACCCGAAATATTTGCGTCGCAAGAGGAATTGCAGAGCTGCGGGGAGGCAAAGCAACGGTTATGCTCACGAATTTCAGCAATGAGTACAAACATGTGAACAAAGGAACAACGGTCGCATACATCGAAGAAATTGTCGAAGCCACCAGTGCTTTCTCCCTCGCCGATTCTGCGGAACCTGCTCAGAGGAACCAAGCCCCTCCCATAGCTTTCGACGTCAGTCCCAGACTTTCGAACGATAAGCAAGAACAGCTCAAGACCCTGCTTCTGCATTACGAAGATTGCTTTTCGTCGTCATCGAAAATTCAGCAGACCCCAATCACGAAACATCGAATCATAACCGAAGAAAATGCCAGACCACTCCGTCAGAGTCCGTACAGGGTTTCGACGCGAGAACGTGAGGCAATGAAGAGACAAGTTGATGAAATGTTGCGAGATGACATTATCCAGCCGTCCAAGAGTCCGTGGGCATCCCCCGTGGTGTTAGTGAAGAAAAAGGATGGGACCCTACGTTTCTGCGTCGATTATCGCCGCCTGAACAAAATCACAAGAAAGGACGTGTATCCTCTCCCACGAATAGACGACGCCCTTGATCGGCTCCATAACGCCAAGTACTTCTCGTCAATGGACCTCAAGACTGGCTATTGGCAAATCAAAGTCGAATAAAGAGACCGAGAGAAGACGGCGTTTATAACACCGGACGGCCTCTTCGAGTTTAAGGTGATGCCCTTCGGTCTTTGCTCAGCGCCTGCAACTTTTCTACGCGTTATGGATACAGTACTGGCAGGATTGAAGTGGCAGACTTGCCTTGTGTACGTGGACGACGTCGTCGTGTTTTCCTCGAGTTTCGACGAGCATCTTCGGCGCCTTGAAGCTGTACTTCAAGCCATCAAGACGTCCGGACTCACACTGAAGCCAGAAAAGTGCAGATTTGCATATGAGGAGCTCTTGTTTCTGGGGCACGTTATCAGCAAGTCTGGAGTTCGTCCCGATCCACGGAAAACAGCCGCTATCGCCGACTTCCCGCCGCCCACTGACAAGAAAGCCGTGCGCCGATTTCTGGGCCTGTGTGCCTATTATAGGCGGTTCGTGAAAAATTTCGCCCGCATCGCCGATCCTCTCACTAACCTTACCAAGGCCGACGTGGAGTTTAAGTGGGAAACGCCGCAGGAACACGCTTTCCAGGAGCTTAAACATCGCCTCCAGACGCCTCCGTTACTTGCCCATTTCGACGAATTCGCCGAGACAGAAATACATACTGACGCAAGCAGCGTAGGTCTTGGCGCCGTTCTTGTGCAGAGGGCTGACGGACTTGAAAGGGTTATTAGTTACGCCACCCGATCGCTATCCAAAGCAGAAGCAAATTATTCCACAACAGAAAAGGAGTGCCTCGCCATCATCTGGGCTACGTCGAAATTTCGCCCCTACCTCTACGGCAGGCCCTTCAAAGTTGTGAGCGACCACCACGCCTTGTGTTGGCTAGCCACCTTGAAGGACCCTTCTGGTCGCCTCGCACGATGGAGCCTGAGACTTCAAGAATATGACATTACTGTCATTTACAAGTCCGGCAAAAAACACTCCGACGCTGACTGTCTCTCTCGTGCGCCTGTCGACCAACCGCTACCCGACGACTCGGATGACGACTACTTCTTGGGAACGATAACTACCGACGACTTCGCTGAACGACAGCGGGCCGACCCGGAACTTAAAGCCCTAATAGAATACCTCGAAGGCAGGACCGCCGAAGTCCCGAAGGTATTGAAGCGAGCACTTGCGTCGTTCTTTCTACGAAACGGTCTTCTACAAAGAAAAACTTTTCACCGCTTCGAGGTAAGTACCTCCTTGTGGTGCCTTCAGCTCTGCGACCAGAACTCCTGCAGGCCCTGCACGACGATCCGACGGCAGGGCACCTCGGTGTTTCCCGCACGTTCGCGAGGATACAAGAAAGGTACTACTGGCCACGTCTTACCACCGACGTCACTCGTTATGTGAGGACATGCCGGGACTGACAGCGACGCAAGACACCGCCGACAAGGCCAGCGGGACTTCTGCAGCCAATTGATCCACCTTGCCGACCTTTCCAACAGATTGGTATGGACCTACTGGGGCCGTTCCCGACGTCGGCTTTCGGAAACAAGTGGATCGTGGTAGCTACCGACTACCTCACCCGCTACGCCGAGACAAAAGCCCTGCCAAAAGGCAGTGCATCCGAGGTGGCTAAGTTCTTCGTCGAAAATATCGTCCTACGTCACGGCGCCCCGGAGGTCCTTATCACCGACAGAGGAACGGCATTCACTGCCGACCTAACTCAAGCGATCTTGGCATACAGCCAAACAAACCACCGCCGGACGACAGCGTACCACCCACAGACCAAAGGCCTCACCGAGCTGCTTAACAAGACGATCGCCGACATGCTGTCAATGTACGTCGATATCGAACACAAGACGTGGGACACCATTCTTCCGTATGTGACCTTCGCATACAACATGGCGGTGCAGGAGACGACGCAGATATCTCCATACAAACTGGTCTACGGAAGGAGCCCGGCAACGACGCTCGATGACATGTTACCCAACGTCACCGACGAAGAAAACCTCGATGTGAGCGAGTACCTTCAACGCGCCGAAGAAGCCCGACAACTTGCGCGTCTTCGTATCAAGAATCAACAGACGACCGACAGCCACCGTTACAACCTTCGACGACGCTTCGTGGAATACCAGCCCGGTGAACGTGTTTGGGTATGGACGCCGATACGCCGTCGTGGACTAAGTGAAAAGCTTCTGCGACGCTACTTCGGACCATACAAGGTGGTTCGACGTCTCGGCCCACTTGATTACGAGGTTGTCCCCGACGGCATCACGAACTCTCAACGACGCCGATCGCGACCTGAAGTCGTCCATGTCGCGCGCCTCAAGCCGTTTCATGCACGTTAACAAACTGAAACAGTGTTTTTTTGTATTATTGTTGTATTGTAATTTATTCATTGTACTTTCTTGCATTATTATTGTACCTTCATCTTTAGTTAAAGCATCGGGACGATGCCTTTTTTCAGAGGGGGGCAATGCCACGTTCCATTTCACAAGTTTTTGTTATCGTTCCGAAACACCACACGATTCTCGGCGCAAACCGTGCCTGCAGGTTTCGAGAAGGTTCCGGACTGTAGTAGATCATTTCGATAAGATCACGCCCACTGTACGAACGGTACAGATTGTTCTGGAACCTACGCCACCGCCAGCGATAACGCTAGAACATTCGACGGCAAGGGTATAAATGCCGACGCGCTTCGCCGCTTGTCAGTTGTTGATCGAAGGCCGACGCTGCGTTCGCCGCTATCAGTCCGAGACTGCTATCTGTGCAAGACTGCTGCTGTAATTAGGCTTTCCCTTTACCGGGCACAGGTTCGCCCAAATAAACAGTTAAAATCCCAAAATAAAGTCTCCTGTCTTCGGCCACGTCAAGACCCCGTGACAATATATATATATATATATATATATATATATATATATATATATGGGATATGGCACAACGGGAGCGTTGTCAACAAGGATAAATATATTTATTTCCCAACAGTTTCGGGAGGGGACCTCCCTTCATCAGGGGATGGGTTATGCCATATCCCATACCTTCACGAAGACTAACTGGCCCATTGAATTATTACTCCCACTATAAATATATATATATATATATATATATGCGTGTGCGCACGTATGTGTACGTGTGTGCGTGCGTGCGCGTATGTGTGAATTGGAGCGGGGGGGAGGGGGGTGTTCGCGTACCTCCCAAAACAGTTTCAAGTACCCCTCGGGGTCATTGGACCTACCTCTGAGAACCACTGCGCAGCTATAGTACCTCTGGAAGGGATGCGGCCGCAGACTACAATGCGGCCAGAGACTGTGTAAGGAGTATGTGGTCAAACAGTATCGCGTTAGGGGATTGAAAAACGCATCCACTGCAGTAGTTGAACGGGAATCGTAAGATTGCCTTAGCCAAGAGAAATTTCTGGTGTCTGCCAGGGTGGGTGTTCAAGACAACTATGAAGCATTATGGTTAGAGTGGTATTTAAAGGATATAAACATACAAGAAACCAATGAAAGAGCTATCTACGAGGGCTCTTGTCTGTTTACGCGCTTTATATACCACTATTTTCTAGTACAAACTCGTCTGAATTTCAGTTCACTGTGAATGTTGCGTTGAAACGTCTTTCCGAGGACCAGAGCATTGCTATGGTGGCAGTTTATCTGGGACAAAGCATATTAAACTGAGCGTTAATGCTCAGTTTTATTTGCCTTCATGCCAACATGCATCACTGAGTTGCGCTGTGAAAAAACAAAGTATTACAAAGGCAAAGATGGACATAAAAAAACAATTGAATATTTGTAGCTTCAGAAAACAAGTAAAATAGTTGACAAAGCAGCTCCTATGTTCTTTTTTCCTGAGGTTTTGTAACTTTTTCATCCAGGATACCACAGAACTTGTGAACTAGCACTAACAACAGACTATTGTTATTTGAGATAACTGCTGCTACTTTTTAGGCTAAGGCACTAGGTGGAATAATGAAAACAAACTAGAGCTTTTGGGCAAAATGATGGCATACAAAATAGAAGGCATGTTTTGTCACGTTAACCACAACTCAGTTCTTTAGAGGGTACCGATGTACCTTGTCCACACGTCCTTTTGCACCTCTATACATAAACAGTGCCTGCTTGTTCATACCTAAAACTGCAACAGCCGTGTCGTGTAATAAAACCAGCGACATCCCTTTTTTAGTGCAGTGCTGTAACATCAGAGCTACCGCTATTTCAATTGAGCGGCAAACGTTTAAATTATATTCATCTCGTGTTTGCATTATCTTCAGTTGTAGCGGATTTATGCTCATGTAGTCCTTGACGACATAGCACGATATTACAGAGAATTCTGTCTGAAACGTACCTGCAAAAGTGCCATGTTGGCAGCTGCTTGTCGAAGTTGGCTTTTGAACGTATTCAGGCGGTCAAGGTTCACCTGGAAAATACACGAAGCACAATACGTTGGCGCAGGCTGCCATTTGCGTGACATAGTAAATGACTTCAAATACTGACTCCTCCGCGGTGTTTCTCTTCGCCAGCAGCTGTGTGGATCTGAAACGATGGTGCACAAACTTTATTCGCTACTAGGAAGATTGCTCGGAGACGAAGTGTTAGCGCAGACGTTATTAAAATACCCGCATTGCGTTAATACCCTAGCAGACTCATTGAGTTCACAGGAGCTATGTCTCTAATACAGTTTAGAAAAGGCATATAACAGCCGCTTTTGCTCGGGCAGTTTAATCATTGCTTGTTACATGTAAAATTACCAGTCAAATAACCGAAATGCACTTGGTGCTGCATTTCGATTTGATTTACTGGCAATACTGTCGCTTTTTATCTCTGTCATACTTACCCGAAGTGTTAGCGCAGACGTTATTAAAATACCCGCATTGCGTTAATACCCTAGCAGACTCATTGAGTTCACAGGAGCTATGTCTTTTATACAGTTTAGAAAAGGCATATAACAGCCGCTTTTGCTCGTGCAGTTTAATCATCGCTTGTCACATGTAAAATTACCAGTCAAATAACCGAAATGCACTTGGTGCTGCATTTCAATTTCATTTACTGGCAATACTGTCGCTTTTTATCTCTCTCATACTTACCCGATTTTTAAAAAGCATCAGCACAGCTGACAAAGCAATATTGCGATGATGAGCCGAACCAGATGCGTGTCTTAAACTGATTATGCTATGTTAATGCTGCCGTCTAATGTCGTTTAATGTATAAAAAAGACACCAAATATCAACACAACATGAGAAGAGGCACCCGACTAGCTATACCCAGTTATTGAAACAAATGGCTTGCATTTACGTATATACATATATTTAGCAAGTAGAAAGGGTTTCCAGATAATACTTACACAGCTCTCCCAAAAAGAGCCAAACACTGAATTTTTCTTTAAAATGTGTCCATGAAACAGTGAGAGTTACTTCGATTTGCGTAGCGCGTTATAGGTTTTCTAATTAGGTAAAACAATCCGGATATGGCATTCCTTATATCAAAATGCGACCACCGCAGCCAGGTTCAGATCCGAGCCTTTTGGGTCAGTAGCTGAGCACGTCCACTGCGAAAATATAATCATCCACTAGAACCCATCTGTAATTGTCCAGCTTGTTTCATCGCTTCTGATTACTCCCGGACCGCCTCTGTCATTCCAATGAAAGCTTCTCTAGGCTTACCTTACCTTTGCAACAAAAGGAAGTGGGCCGTGCCTGTATGCCTCCCTTATAAAATCTATACTTACGATTTCAGAACTAAAATTCTCATTGTCGACGCCGCCTGTTCAAGTTCCAATTCGTGTAGACTATAATGTCAAAATCTGATTGCTTTTCTGCCAGACAAACTTCTACAGAAGATAATAGCTGTCTCCATCGCTAGCAACCCTGGTGATGCATGACTCGAGGCTGCTACTTTTAATTTGCTGAAACCGCACCTCTGTGTACCGCTGCAATGCCACTGAGGAAAGTTAAAGAAATAAAAAAAAATCATGCCAGAGTGCTTTTTTTTTAGCAAACGCCGAGTCATACCTGTACACCGCTTTGTGGACTTTGTGAAAACTGCGAGCTCGGAAATACTAACTGTTCAGACACCTTTCATATATTATTTATAGATTTAGCGAAATCTTCTTTCTCGTATGACACCATAGCCCACGGAACAGCTATAGAATGACTTGTCACGCAATCCTGCAAGCAACAACTCAACTGCAAGTTTGCAGCGTACTCAAGACGTTACCTGCAGTCCCTGTACCGTCCTCGTCTCGTCTCCCTCAGCACAAGATGAAATTATGAACCAATTCATAGCACTCCTGAATTAAAAAGCCAAACACTTTTCAACATTCAGTAACTTTCAGGTGCACGGGAGAAAATAAAGCTGTGGTATCCATCGAACATGGTTACAATGTCACAGGAGTGAAACGAACCAAATAAATTGTCGCTTACTGATATCATGTAAAATGCGTTTGCGTCACACAAGGGAAGCTGTACTGGGTACTGCAAGTGAAAAGCCTGATTGTCTACGAATAACAATTGCACCAGCATCGTTATTCTTGACGTTTTGTTGTTATTGATGTTGCGTTACGACCACATTCTCGCACAGATCGCCGACTAACCACCCATGAACAAAGCGTAAGTAAAGATGCATTTCAGTTAGCTAACGTTGTCACCACAGTCTTATTAGAAGGGGGGGGGGGGAGGCAGATGTCTCACAGTGCCCATGCGTTCTTTGATATTGATAAAGCAGCGAAGTGCTGTTATTCTGACTTAATTTTACAATCTGCCATACATTGTACATTCAAAGCGTCCAAGTGCAGCGATGTCAGCAACTATTATTTTTAGTGTGAAAAATAACTTTAGCTAATTAGCAGAAGCATAAATTAGCAAAGTGTAGCTGCACTCCACATAAGTAGGTGCTTTATTGTGAAGCGTCCCATGAGACATAATTAAAATAACGCCGGTTTTTCTCGATTTTCCTTCGGCGAGAACAAGTACTTTACAGGAATACAGGAAAAGGTTGCCTAACGTTCTGAGGTTGAACAGAGTAGTGGAAAGCTATACCGAATACTCCATTCATGAAGTCTGAGAAAATGCGGAGTTCTCTGAACTGTCGCAAGGTGTTCGAACCAGCTAATATTTTTTCAGTGTGCCATCCATTACGAGCGCGCACTATCGCATAGACTAACTCTTCGTGATGCTACGGTGAAGCATGTCCACCGGACAACACGGGTAAACATTCGCCTAGAGACATACTCATGAGCACGAAGGAGAAAGAGATGTCAACCCACAGTCAACGGCAACAGACTGAAGCACTGTAACCGTTGAATTCTATGGTATTTCGTGCTGCGACAAAAGTAACGATGTCGCATGAAACGCTCAGCGCGTAAAAGTTATTGAGAACAGACACTTAGTAGCCTTCAAGCACTAGAGACTCAGACGTGTTATTCCAATCGGTTTTTGCCGGCCGAAACTTATCCTTTGGTGCACATTAGATCGTGAATATTAGAGGCGACATCCCCTTCTCTGGCTCTATTGCCTGTTAGTCTTGATTAAGATAATGTCTAGCAGACAAATTGAAAATACTATTTTTTTAGTTTGGCTTGTAAACAGAAAGACGTATGCTGACGTCAGTACTGACGAGCTGAATGGTAAGATGAGGTACCCAATCACGGAGTATGCATTTGCCGGTTACGTATCTGATGGCTGCGCCAACTCCCCCCCCCCCCCCGCCACGCCAGTTGCCAACGAGCGCTCAAGAAAGCGCGCGCCTCCGAATTCTGTCGACGGTGACGATACCGGGTGTCATACAGTCGGCAAAAACCAGCGAAAAAGAGAAAAACATCAAAAGACAATACGGGCGCGTTTCCGCTCCTCCTCGAAAACGTCGCTACGCTGACCAACATTCTCGCACCGATCGCCAAGTGAACCCCGGAAACATCGAGAAGGAAAGCGTGAGTCACTCCCTGGTTGAGTCATAGGTCAGGGAGAGCTCGCGAAACGTCTCGCCCCCTTCCCAGCCTGGGCTGAGCGACGTGCCTAAGAACCTTCTGGAACACAGGGGGGAACGTATTTAGGCGAGCAGAGGAGTGTCGTGATCATGGTAAGAGGGAAGAGTTTGCGCCAGCGTGCGTAGAGTGTTTCCGCTGTCGGGCGAAGGGTTTTGTCCTCAGAGACAAAGCAGGAGATGAAGAGGATTTCTACCTGTAGATGAAGGCTTGTATTGCAAGCAGAAGAGTGTGTGATTAGTGATTACTGCCCGCGGGCGAAGACGCATTCTGCAGTAGCGGCCTGTGAGAGGTCAATGTGTTGCCGGCGAAGAACGGTGCTTTTAGTGCAGACACCTGGTGACGCTAGAATTCCTGGAAAAGAAACTTCGGGGGCAGCGGAACGACAGTAGCACTGTACTTTCAGTGAGTGATTCTTAGAAGAAAGTCATCCACGCTTCATTCCCACATTTTTTAACTGAATAGCTTGATGAAATCTTTAGTCTTTGAGCGTCTTCGTTGTTTAATGCCTGATATTGCATTGTAGCGCATGTTGTTGTGCCCGCTGTTGGGAGTAAATATGCTGTGCTGTGTACCCGTCGTTCAGAGTTCGTTGTTTGATTCGTGACATATTGTATTGAACTATTGCCGAGTATGCATATTTGTGTGTAGTTTGATTCGCAGTATTTGAGAATATCTTTTGTTTGTTATCAACTCTTGGTTCGGACTCCTGTGCACCACAGCCGGCGTCCGCTGGCGTACCAAATAAGACCCATTCTAAATTGTTTGTGCTTTCGTGGTGTAGTTCGGAGGACTGATACGTTGACCCTTGGAATTACCCCAGTGATTGCCTCCCTAATTAAAGGGACTCGTGACAATTAGTATGACCACCGTGACAAGGACCTTTTTGGTGCACTGTGTGTCCAAAGTAGTGAGAAAGAGCCTCGAGTCGTTGATAGTGCTATCGGAACGAGCTTTGTGTGTTGCACAGTGTTCTTGCTAGCGAGTGTGCAGAGAGTGTTTTGATAGACTGAGATAGGCAGATACTTTGTGTACGCGGCTAGAGTTTCATCTGGGACGCACCATGAACTTGTAGAAGTTGGTAGCTCTTAGTAACTTGATGGGTCTTTCAGGCGCTGAGCTACGGAAGTGGCTTTGTCACAAGTTTAAAGAACAAGAAGAGCGAGTCAAGGAGTAAAAGGCAGCTGAGCTTGAGAGAGAGAGGCTGACAGATGATAGGGCAAAAGAAGAAAAGGAGATGAAGGAGTGGCAGTTGAAGGAAGTAAAATGGTTGAGCTGGAGAAATAAAGACTGGCGGCTGACAGGGCGAAAAAAAGAGATGTGAAGGAGCGAAATTTGAGCGAAGAAAGAGAAGCTCAGATGGCTGGAACAGAGAGACGGTGGCAGCATCAGTTAGGACTCGAACGGCCCCATTTGCAGCAGCGAAGTGAAACTGTCCT